ATATTAGACACCTCATCAGCCCTACGTGTTTATGAGCGCAGAGCCGTTTTAACGAGGTTACCTGAATAACCTGGATGGTTTTAGCGGCCACGTTCCACTTTAACGCCAAGAATCTAACGGCACATTTCAGAACTAGTTCAGAGCTTTTAAACCACGGACTGATGAGCCGTGTTCATTTACATGGCGATTTTTTTTGTCCTCACGCGACAGTTCCGCAAGGGAGGGGGGGGGGGCGGGCGCACACGCACACACACACACACACACACACCAAGAGGAAATGTTGGTGTCCGCGTCATGTGTAATGACTCGATAGCTCCGTCACCATTGTGGCTACTGTATGTCAATGCTCATGGAACACACACACACACACACACACACACTGTCCCTGGGTGTCCGCTCCCCCCCCGGATTTGCCCTCCTGGGTAATTATACCTTTCTTGGAGGGAATACAGGGATTGGCCGCTCCTCGTCAAAACTATCGAACCCTTATCCAAATTTCTTATTCTGGGCCCCTCACAACTCATTGTCCCGCACTGCACACACACACACACATACACGAGCGGAGTCAACAAACTATGGGAAAAGGCCAAGTCAAAAGTCCATGACAAAAGTGTAACGTCCATGTCTAAAGTCCATGTGTCCCTGATTCACATACATAATCTCACTCACCCCCCCAACTATTAACTTTGCCGTCTGGTGCAGCAAGCGACTGCTTATTTATCCTGGCAAGCTACACAGCTCAGGCCAGCTGGGAAGTTAGGGGTTGTGGGGTTGGGTGAAGTGAGGGGTGGAGTGCAGGGAGGGGGGGGGGGTCCACACCTGAGCTCACACTCAACAGTAGCGCGGAGGCCTCGTGCAAAACCAATCGTACCGTTATGAAAAGAGCAGAAGCGGCCGCGCATGCGTGAGGACCTTTCTGTAATTCTCACAGTAGCAAAGTCAGGATTTGGCCCGCGGGCCACGAGTTTGACATATGTGCTCTACGGAGCCGGTTCTGGGGCGCGTTGACCCGACTCGGCACCTGGGGGATACGACGAGCGTCTACACGCCGCTCTGACCGAGGGGCACTCTGCGGCCCCCCTAACACGGAACAAAGGAGGGATGAAACACAGGGTGACCGCTGTTCTGTCCCATTTTGGAAATGCCAGGAGTCAGGATGTGAAAAAGCAAAATGTGAGACCTCGGGTTCGTCTGAGGGGAAGCGCACTCGCTAAAAGGACCCCGGAGCTATTGAATGAAGCCGGAGAGCAACCTGACCGGATGAGAGAGAGAGACGGAACCGAGTGTTCAATTCAATAAGCGCGCACCGATTTTCACGCTCAACAATCACTGGCTCGGCACAAAAAAAAGACATTTGTACAGTTTTCTCTAAGGACTATTGGCCAGTCACCTCACGTTGAACTATTAAAATGTGCGGCCATGGTTGCGTATCAACAGATAGCAGCACCGCTATCGAAATCATGGCATCCCCCCCGCCCTCGTGTACAGAGATTTGGAACATTTCTCTGAGTGGAGCAGCGACCAACTTGACAATGGATTCCCCGAGCGCTGCGTTGAAGGTGACGCCACGGCGATCAGGTGATAATCCCGTCTACATTGGGGGGAGGGGGCACGACAAATTGCACATTGTGCAAATAATTAAAGGACGTCGGTCAATGTTTACTTTTCTTTCCCTGCTGGGGGGCAACTCAGCTCTTTTCCAGCATTATTCTGTTTTTTGTTAGAAGAGGAGAGGAGGGGGGGGGGGGGGCGACCAAAATAGAATCATCTGATCTTCCTTTCATAAACCTTTCCACTCCTGCAGCAGATTTTTGGCAGAAGAAGAAACGCACACACAAAAAATCCCTCTGTCAGATGGAGTATTTGGTCACAGTGTCCGAGTCCTCCTCAGAGAACTAAAGAAGAAAGAGACCCAGAAGGAAACCCGTGAGAGCAAAGTGAAGACTGGATTCTTCATGTTGCCTGCGTGCCTGCATTCTATCCTATCTATCACATATTTACACCGCCACAAATACACACGTAATGATCAACTACATTATTCCGTTTGGGAAGACTCCCCCCAGCAGCCATGTGACCGAGAGGCTAAATATAGTCGGTATGCCGGGGCCACACTGACATCTTTGCATGTTTACCAAGAAAGAACACGTCGAACCAAACGTCTCCGCCCGCTAATGAGCTGCAGAGGACTGCGGCTTCTGGGTCCGAGTACGACACTTTTCCTGCTCTCGGGCCGTTGCGGTTTTCCGTCATTGGAACCGCGGCGGCTCAGTGGAAAGACACATTTAAGCCGGTGAACTGGTGTATTGGCAGACCACCTCTGAACGTTCACACCTTCCGGTGCATGGGAATGAAATCAGCTGACAGGAAATGAAGAGGACCCCCAGCTGTTGCCTAGCAACTCAATCCCACCCGTAAAACACGGGACGATTTGGACGGAGGGTGAATTCAGCTGCAATCAGAGACCAATAAAAAGATAAATAAAGCATGTGAAACATCTTATTGGAGAAACCCGGAACTTAAATATGAACCCTGGAAACGAGCATTAAAAGTCCACCTTTAATTGCCCCCATAAAAAAGGTGAACGCTGTGCTACAAGCTGCCTTTGCATCAGGAATCCTGCGGAGAGCTGTGGGAATCTCGTCTTAAAGACGGGATCAGATAAACCTCGTACGGCTCTGTGGGCCTTAACGCACGGCACAAGCTACTGAAGGTCACTACTTAACATTCTTTACCCTGCAGAAATTGGCACCATTTGTTTTTGTTTTTTAAAGCTGTGGCAGGGAAAGACAGTCCAGGGACTGTGACTTGTCATACTAGAAGCGAGTGAGCACGTGAAACTCAGCGAAGAGCAAATAAGCAGCCCGGTCTAAAAGATTGGGGAAGAGAGCGACGTTTGCCGCGAGGACGACCTGTGCGGCGGACGACGACAGTTTGGTGTTACGTTGGATGGCTTTCAAGCGATAAACAACAACTGGAGTCGGGGGAAGATTTGAATCGGCTCAACCGCACAATGAGTTTTAATCTCTGTGCACGAGTGCATTTCAAAAGCAGCACAATGGTTTAGAGATTATGTTTCCATGTGAATAACTGACAAACGGGATTACAAACAGAACCCAACAGTAAACAGATCGCCAACGCAGCGTGCAGATGCGATGCGGTTTAGGAATCAGCCATAAAAAAACTCTGACATCACGTGTTTGATGCTTAAACTCAGTTCTGGTGCCATTAGCTACTGAGCGCTACATTATGTGGGAGGTTATTGTTGTCAACCAGCTTTGGAGAGGACCAAGCAATCAACGGGACAAGACTTTTACAAAACAAATAGAAAAAGTTCTGTTTATTTACATGTATTTAAATACACTAAAAAAGGCCTTTTTTTGGTGCCACTGCTTTCAAAATCGACAGTCTCTTTGGACCCAAATACCAAAAGAAAACTACATTTGCCGGTTTCCAGTTTCACAAAACAATTAAACAGATTCCCTTTGCACGCAACCAGTTAAAAGGCACGTCGTTCTCACTGAAACCCGAAGAAACTCCCAGAGGCCACAGCAGCACGGGACGGGTAACGCGACGCGCATCGGCCAGTGTTAAAATGGATCTATAAGCTTATTGACGCAATGATCCACCCTTGGACATTTGTTGAAATCCGTGCACACGCGTAGGTCTAATCAATACTCGCAGAGCGGCGCCCTCTTATTGAAACACGTGCACACGTGTTGTCGACGGGGAGTAATACAACTCTAAAGAGGCCCGATGCTTTTGGTACGGTGTACTTCAGGAACGGGGCAGATAAAAGCCGTCCCACACAGACTTGATGTGGGAAGAGAGAGACATGCTGCAGACTGACAACACAGAATGAAATATGCTCCAATGGACATTTGGCATCGGTCTGTTTGAGAGACAAAAACTACAAACAAAAAAAATTCACTGGACACCAAAAGCGTGCTGCTTGTGTGTGAGACTCTAGGCTATTAATAGACTCGCTCCAGTGAGGGAGACAGCTCCCCCCTCCCTCCCTCATGTGAGGATCAGCCCCTCACAAGGGTTAGAGAGGAGGAACAGAGGGATGTGGTGTGGGTGGCTGCGGGCGGGCTCTCCATTGACACCGAAAGTGACCCCACAGCGCTAGAACTTCCCGGGTGGAATTGCCCTCCGGTTGTTCAGTGTCACCAGAGTCCCCAAAAATCATCAACACAAATCATTGCGCGCGCAGAGAGCGGGCACTTCTCAGGAGGCCCGACACACCTATCCGCCCGCAGCCAAGTGGCTTTATCTAGAGTGGACATTTGAATGCCGTTTGTCCTCATGATGATGCAAATGGCTTTTGTTGGGTGGGTTTTACCGCCTTGATCGTTATCGGCGTTGCTCTTGAATGCCGGATGCAGATGCGCACCGCAGCTCTGACATGAATGGAAGACGAAAGCCAATGGACACGAGGTTTTGAAACGTTGGCCGTGTGCAATAGAGACGCACAGAGCAGCCGGTGAAGCAATCAATGGGTGACACACAAACCACGAATATCAACAAACTTCTATTGCGCATTTAAGGTGGAATCGGGTGCGTGCTTGCCTAATAGCGTCCGCCTCGACTTACACTTCCAGGCAAACGTGTGGACACACTTTTCTCTGTGAATTTAGTGAGAAAATTGCGTGCATGCGTGCGGGGAGTTCGGGGCTCCTTGCGGTGATGCGCACATGCAGAATCCGATCGGAATGCGTGCGCGTGGAAAACACCCACGGTGGCCACTGTGCAGTAAACGGCTACACCGCCTTTCGCACATGGGGGAGAAATGCGTCCGTGCGCACCGTCCACCGTGAACACACAGCGAGCGTGCGTCGGTACCCGGTGCCGCCGAGTCGTGACCAGCTGACACGTTATTTTACCGCAACACGAAGACGACGTAGTCGGCGGTACGGAGGTAAACACACACACACAGATAAATAAGAGAAACACAACATTGGCGTGAAGTGAGCGGCACGTTGTTCGGCGCGGACACTCACATCCTCGAACAGAGATCCGACGTTGGCCGTCACCAGCAGCACCCCGGTGCCCTGCGCGGCTGTCAGCTTGCCGGCCATGGTCCTGCCTCGCGGGTGGTGGGTTCGGGGGGAGTGGGGGAGTGTGGGGGGGGGTAGGGGGGGCTCGGAGCGGCGGACTTTACGGGGAGGAGGGGGGCAAAAAACAACAACAACAACAAACAGCAGCGGGGAGAACGTCTCGCGAAGGCGGTTACAGCAGCGCGGGTTCGGGGAGCATGTTCTTCGGCGGCGGGCCGCGCGTCAGTCGGCGAGGAGCAGCTCCGCAGGAGACGGCGAGCCGTTGGCGGCGGGGCTGCGGGGCTTCGCGTGCTACTTTTTAGCGTTCAGAGCCATAGTGAACCCCGAAAAACAGAAAAAAGTTCCCGCTCGTTTAATCCACGGTGAGTGACCCGGCGCTCTGGTTCATTTCAGCGACGAGTCTTCTCGCTCCCCCCCCCTTTGGCTTGAGTGAAGGTGTTACAAGTCTCCCTCCAAAGGCAGCGCTCTCGGTCCAGGAGCGTCGCCTTCTCCGCTCGGAAAGGACAGGCTGGAGTCCTCCGCGGCTCTGACGTCACCGTGCCAATGGAAACACGGGGCCGCCTTAAAGGGCCAGCGCCCTCCCCGACGTCACGACTTCCATTGTCGGACACTGCCGCGGCGAACGCTTTGGATCAGTCAACCGACCTTTTTTTCTCATGTACGCTATTTATTTTACGCCATTGCATTTATTGTAGAGAGAACGAGGTGCTCGCAGCGTGAATTGTTAGCGTGCTCTGCGTGAAAATACCTCACTGTTAAATTCTTTGTTTGGCTTTGACAAACAGCTTCAAGGTTCAGAGACGTCGGCTACGTCAACGTGCAGCTTCCTTGTCAGCTGACGCTGGAATGCACGAGTGCTGCTGATGTCACTTGTCTTTGACAATGGCTTGGTTCACAGAACTTAGCAGGACACGTGGCCAGTTGTTTTACAGGCCACCTGAAGGTACCGCTTGTGGATTTCTTTTTTTATATTTAAGCTAGGCAGAGGTTAAGTTTTCCTGACAACAGGTCACACTTATCTTTGTGAATGGACTCAATCAGCAGCATTTGACTGGGAATGACACGTGTTGATATCTATTGTGCTTAAGACTATGATTGCTCTTCGCAACAACATGCGTGATCTTTGAGTACACCAGTTCACCCGTTGCCCAATGCGAACACACGCTATGCAATGGGAAAGTTTCCTGTTTGGGCGGGAAAATATCACATGAAAAAAACAAAATCAGTGTGCATGACTGGATTCTGCCAAGCCTGTGAGTAATGGATTGAGTGGGAATAGATTGCCTTTCCCACCGGCTTCACAAACCCTGTCTGTTGACAACAGCTCACCTCATTACTGGCACAAGGCTCAGTGACAACTGAGCTGGGAAATAAATGTAGTTTAAAAAGTGCTTACAGTGAATGTAGGTTAAAAAGTTGCTGCTTACAGTGAATGTAAGTTAAAAAGTTGCTACTTACAGTGAGCAGAGACCCTGTTTCTTTTTTAAGCCAAACCTGGCGGCTAGCATTGCATTAGTTCCCTAACCTAGAAGTAAAAAGCTAGTTAGAAACCCTCAGGGACTTTACTGACGTCCTGGTGAATATTAAATGATTTCTTGTGTTTGTTTGTTTTTTCTTTAATTCTTAATGTTTTAAATCTAATGCATTTAAATATGACACGCGTGCCGTCCTCTTTGTCTACCTTTTTTTTTTAAGTCTCCATTCTGTCTTTGAGACAAAGTTATCTCGTTTTTAACATCACATTGCAATGCCTTGTGGGTAATTCCCTTGGGAAAAGTCAGCTTACGGAAAGGGCTCATAAATGGCTCGAAATGTCTGCCAGAGTCTCAAACTCTCAACAGTGTGTCTGGAATAAAAGCAAATCCTCAGCGTGAGCGCGCCTCAAAGGTGGTGAGTGTGTGAGGGTGGCGATCCGGACTGGGCCTAGAGCATAGCATCTGGTATGCTTGTGTTAACCATCCACATTAAATTGGGAATCTGACAAAATCCCCCTACACCACCCAAAATATACAAGGGACCCGAAGATGCACAAATGCAGACTAAGTTCTGTGTTCTAACACTCGTTTCTGTAACGCTTGTGAGGGAATTGTGGGAAGCAAAAATGATGCCTGATGTTGGATCCTGTCACCCCTTTGGCTTCTGGCACCCAACATCTGGCACAGCGAGACTCTCCTGCATCATTCACAGACCGCCACGCTCCAAGTACAGACAGGCTTTTCACGCGGCCTGATCTCCCCCGAGGGTCCCGAGGGTTCCGAGGGAGGAAGGGTCCGCGAATAAGCCACAACTGCCAAAGAGGTAATTTGAGGGCACCAGCGTTTTGCCGGCACACAACAGTCTTGTTCCACCGAGCTCCTGTTTAGTGGACCGAAAGGGAGAAACAGAATCCCAGTGTGTCCTCGGCATTGTTGAGAAAGTGAAACGCGTTCGGGCCTCGATCGTGTTGCTCTATTCTATGTTGTGTGAGTCGCATGTCACCACATTCAGTGACCATCCAGCTGAGGGAACGGCGGCAATCATCTGAGGACTAAAGGACGGCCCATGTAGCCATCATGTTAACAGCGTCACGCTGAGGTGTGTGGCTCTGAGCGTGTGGTTTTTTTTGGGGGGGGGAACACAGTCACGGCCGACTAAGATCTGATTTGAACAGAGCTGAGAGATTAGCACCATAACGCGAGTGCTCACTCACAGCTGTGTCTGGCAAGGGGGGAGAGAGTGTGTGTGTGTGTGTGTGTGTGTGTGTGTGTGTGAGAGAGTGACTTCATGACTCCCATCTTCTGATTGCGTTTGCCTGACTGCATGTTTATTTACATGCTATTTTTGTCATGTTCTGTATGTGTGGAACATGACTCGCTGCAGTACATCTGTAATTAGTCATTCAGACACATGAGTAGGATAATGATAACAATTAAAGGGAATACATTCCTGGCTGCGCTATTCTGTGTGTGTGTGTGTGCGTGTGTGTACACGTACAGGGTTTTAAAAACAGATCAGACCGCCCTTGAAAACAATCCCATCTAGATGATATCTCCTCAGCAGAATGTCATGCTCATCACTGTGAGAGTAAACCATTGGAGCTGTGTAAACCATGTGGGCTGGACTGGAACAATTCTCAGTCCTGAGACTGACTTGTGTTTATCATGAAGTTAACATTTTGTCACCTAATATGTTTACACTAAGTCACGCTGGGTTCAAAGGACCGGGAGTTAACAGATTTTTGCCCAAGAGGAGGACGAAAGCAGACTGAGCTACAAACATCAGCGACGTCCTTGATAGGGAGAAGAAGGGAGGAAGGCGAGGAAGAGAAGGAAAGAGGAGCGATGAGAGGAAGATGCCCAGCGGGAACTCTGCCACAAGTTTAGTGTTTAGTACATTTGTGAAAGTAGGCAACCAGAATGGGGAATTCAACTTGATCCACACGTTCCAGAAGCTTGTTGACATATTGAGGAGAAAGCTACCTGGCTGAGGGGACCACTGACGTGCTAGCCAGCTCGGACATATTTTTCGGACAGAGGATGTTGTATGTGTACAGACTGTAAAGCCCTCTGAGGCAAATGTGTAATTTGCGATTTTGGGCTACACAAAATAAAATGAATTGAATTGAACTATTCAGACACAAAGCTACAAACAGCAGTTTGTTGTACACTTTCATGTGTGTAGATGCAATGAACTAACACGTTGTGAGGTGTTTGTCATCAAGCTTTGTTTGTGCTGGTGACTTCGAAGTGATTCTCAATGGGCATCCGGCCATAACGCTATGCTAAGCTAACCGCCTCCTGGCTCGAGCTTCATGAGAAGTAGATCATGAAGATTTGCTCTCCTCCTCGAATCTTCGGCAGGAGAGCAAATAAGCATATTTCCCTGAAACGTTAACGCATCCCAGATGTCCTCTCGGACCGTGACGCTCGCATGCTGGCCTTTTTTTTTTTTGCTGTCTTATCAAACAGCTTGAAGGGAAAGCAAGTGGAAATGGCACTTAAAAATAGCAGGACAAATATGTGTGGAGCCCTGTGTGTATACAGATAACAACTCAGGTAATGTGTTTCATAAGGGTCAGTAAATACTACACTGTAAACTCCAGGCAGGGTATCCCACAAGGGCGGCTTAAGGAGGGGGGGTAATGAAATATGTGTGCGTAGGTGTGTGTGTGTGTGTGTGTGTGATAAAAAAAAAAAGTTCAACACACTGGCTAGAAGCTCCTCGCTTTGCACTATGGGTAATGGAAAAAAATGATGTTAGAATTCTAGACCGCCAGCAAGTATGTGCACTTTGACCCCGATCCCTCTAACTGCTTAGTATCTAAAAATAGATAAACCTGGAAATAATCAGGCTTTCTCATGCCTCCAAAGAAGCAGGGATCCAGCCCTGTAATGACCCGCTCCGCGTGAAGTTTTATCTCCAGCCGCACTCAGGAATCAGTCATCCACACTCGATGTGTGTATCCCAAGAGAGCCAGCGAGGCAGTGTCAGGATCTCCGATTCCCCCGAGTTGGTTGATGAGAAGGATCGCCACAGCAGCATGGGAATTTAGCAGGAGAATACGGCTGCATTAGTGGAAGGGAGGTTCTGCGTGTCTGGATGAAGTTGTTCATGGGACAATTCATGTTTCGCTGACATATTCACATGTCATTTGAATAAAGCGTTTGCGTGGCACACTTATCGATTGTTTGAAACCAAACTATTAGGTGCGGATTTAGTTCTTGATTCTTACTATGGGCACATGTAGTGAGGTGGTTATCTTTAGAGTTAGAACTGGTTAATCAAACTCTTTTATTCTTTATTTGTCTTAAATTATATCTTAACTTTAAAATGTTTTAAAACACGTTATCATACAGCCCTTTAGCTTCAAGCCAGCGAAAACGGATATTGTGGTCACTTTTAAACAGCTCAAACAAGCTCTTAACACAACATTGACGTATCGCTTTAAGCTGATATGTTGATGGGTTAGCTCTTCACCCAGACAGTAGTTCCGCAACTCTATCATTCACTTGGAGTTGTGTTTCTGGCACTTTATTTTAGCTCTATTTTGGGTCTCTAGCATCCCCTCACAAAAATACGTGTCTTCTCAGCTCCTAAATGCTCCCCAGTGTTGCTATCTGCTGAGCAGGTAATTAGTGCAGCACATTTTTTCAGGACTATTTGAAGTTTGGAAAAGCCCAATGGGGCTCCAGGCGATAATTAGGTTCATTAATAGGACCTCCTTCACATTGTCACATTATCATTTTGATCATTGAATCCTGATGATAGACTTTGTTCTATACCAGGGGAGGTTAATGGAGGCGGCTAGTTCGGTGACATGTGATTTAAGTATGAATATCGAATAAGCCATCACTTTTACACAGGATGAAATAATCAAAACTAAGATGTTTTTGTCAAATGGATTTTTTTCTACACTTTGCATTAGTTCTGGATGTGGTATATTCTGTCAAAATAAAGATCTGTAATGAGTAAATACCCTGCAATTGAAAACATATTGATTGTTTTCCACCGCAAAAAATCAGAGCACAAAGAAGTGAG